TTGCTTTTTTTCGAGAGCTCCATACTGGCCTTAATACTCGGGGTTTTAATAAGTATTCTTTATTGTGAGTGCACTGTAGTTTTAAGTTTTTATTGCCAAAGAGCACAGCGCCGATTTCAAAATATTTTGTTTTATCCGCTGTGCTCGAAGCTATTTGGAAGTGTTTGAACTTAAAATATATACAAACAAAAATTATAAAAAAATATTGGAACATTGATTAGTGATCTTTTTAGTAATTCTTCATTTTTTCGTCCACACTTTCCACTTTCGTCCACTGTTTTTATGGAATTCTGCAAATCTTTTTCGATTAAACCTCAGTCTACCTTCAAATAGAAGAGTGTGAATGAATGAAAAATTCAAACCTATTTTGGTTATAGTTTTTTTCTACAAATCAATTTTTTCGCATTAGAGAAATAAATAAGCACCTTACAAGGTAATCCTTGTTTTCTTTCAGCTTTTAGTACCAAAATTGTATTCATTTCCACATTCATATACTAGTAAATCACAAAATGAATACCTTGCAAAATAACGTGCCGCCGAATTTATTTCCAAGCGCCGAAATACTCTGAGCAACTGCTCTACACAGCGTTGCCAGGTTGACGTTTTTAACGTCATTTGGACGTTTTTTGTATCCTGTTGACGTTTCGAAGTTTTTTTATGTAAAAAATTACGTTTTTGCACTTCCCAGGAATTTTTTTCTCTTACTAAATCTTGTAAGTAAAACCATGATAAAAATATAGTAAGGTAGAACCGCTGAGAGTCACTTTTAAAATTCTTGACGTTTCCAAACAATTTAATTTTTAAATTTACTCACAAACTCACACACACATTTTCATTTTCAATCTCAAGCAACAACAATTTCGAACAATTTCATTTTTTTATTTTCACATTTATATGATTTTAAAATGTTGGCAAACTTCAAAAAAAAATCATGGCCGACAAATTGAGAGAACGGTTATACCTTGCTATGTTTTTATCATGAGTAAAACTGATTTTGAATTATTTTCTTAATAAATCTTTACAAGCTTTGTGTTTTGCAGTAACTGCTTCAAAAGATATTTATTCTTTGGAAACATATGACTTAAATATGATGCATACCAAGCGTACGCGCATTTTTTCTTTTGATTCTTGGACTGTGTTCAAAGGCTGCTTGTGTAAATACTTGAGGTTACGAGGCTTATTGTAATGTTTGCAATTGCACATTAAAAGCCAAATCAGGAAGAGCTGTTCTCTTGCAACACGTACGCTGGCAAAAGCATCAAAAAAGCTGTAGCAGCATAAAAAGTCAGAAAACAGTAGGCGACTTTTTTAAGACTCATGTAATGAACGCAAAAAAAGGCTGAAATATTGCTATGCTCCTTCTTAACAGAACGTAATTTAGCATTTTCGACAGCCGACCCCCTTACCAAATGCCTACAAGAAAAAAATTTATTAAAAATCAACGCGATTACTTAGCCCCTTTAAAATTGCACATTATTGCCCTGAAATTTAATGGGTTATCAAACTGCATACCCAAACAAATTCTAAAAAATCTAAATAAAAAGTTGAAAATCTAGCTGAAGCTTTGCAGATTTTTTATAATTTTTGCACAAAGTTTGAAATGTGGATTTATATTTTGTTTGTTATATAATGAGCTCTTATGAAAAAATAATAATCATTAAATAAACAAAAGAGAAACAGCCAAAATCGATCAAAATGTTGATGACTTAATCAGTTGTATGTAAAAATGATTTTTATATTAACGATATCAAACCAGTGTACAATGAATTTTAAATTTGCAATGATATGTTAATATACCCTACGTACACATGTACCTTTGTATACAATAAAAGTTTAATAAGAACAATTTTTTGTACATTCATTTGAATAAGACGTTTTTGGGTAGGAAATGACGTTTTTTCAGGCCAAGAGAGACGTTTTCTCATGCCGAAGACCTGGCAACACTGGCTCTACATCTACGTACCTTCCCTTCATTCGTTTTGTATATGAATAATTCATGTGCTGTTTTGAATGAATTCATGCTGCCCTCTAATGTGTATGTATCTAACGTAGGGCTGCCATATGCCTGAGCCCATCGACCAGGACACTTCTCATTCAAATCAAAAACCAAGATACAAGTGAATATGGTGCCAATATATTTCTTATAAGTACAGTTGCTTTGGTTCTGGCATTGCATTTTTTTGAAGTTATATCTGATATTATAAGCAATATGGTTTTGTGGCACAATCCGTAGAGCATAATTCAGCTGATGATTATGTGTTGTATGAAATGCTCAAGTTTTGATTTTGTTAATCATAAAAGAACAAATTTCTTTTGACTGTGACGTAACTTCGAAAAATGTTTAGCGCCTTTAAGGTATCTTACACATTTCCACATTTCTTACAATGCGTTTTATAATAATTTTTGATTTCTTGTATATGCATAACCAGAAGATAATTTAAGTATGCTATTTAAAGTGAAGCCATTCTAAAAGACTTACCCAATAAGGGCTGGAAAAAGTGTTTCCCTGTTAGGTCCATGAAAGGGGTTTGAACTTGAGTGTATGCTTATATTATTTAGCAGAACCTTATTGGCGATCTCCACAGGATACAATTTATTGCTGTCCAGCTGTCATTTTTGTTGCCAGATATAAGTTATATCAGTGACATTAATTATGTGTGTTTTTTTTTGTATCTGGATAAAAGTATTTGTAAGATGGCTTCTAACAAGTATTTTTGCAGGATTTAATTAGTTAAAAAATTTATTAAATATGCTATCTCACATACATACAAGTACATAAATAATAACAAATATTTTAATAGAAAACAGCTGAATTAAAATATCAATTACGTTTATATTCTGACGCATGTATCAAGATATAAACTTTATCCTGTAGAGATGTTCAGTTAAATTATTTCCTTAAAGAAGTATGATTTTTGCAAATTAAAAGAACAGCTTAAACAAAAATTCTCCAAAAGGCCTTCTAAAGTATGTCCTACAAAAGCACTTCTGGAAGCTCTTCTTTGGGTAGCGAAACCAGAAGCCCCTAAACTATGTCCCTCCATACAAAAAACGAAGAAAGAAATTACTTTAAGAAATACCTTTCGGAAGTGATTTTTGCTCCTGAAATTCTGGTTAGTATGTAAGACCCCTCAGCCGCGTACCTGTTCACTTGCACTTTTTGACATGTGCCTGAAGATAGAAACTTAAGATTTCAACCAAATGCAAACTAAAAAGAAGAGGTAAACTCACCAGATATCGTTCAATATGTTAGAAAAAAGGTTTCGTTATAGATTTTCGATTACTAATAACAAAAAGCTTAAAATTTTTTTATAGAAAAAACTGTCAAAAATGAACTTCATTAATAAACCAGGACAATTTGCTTAAACCAGGACTAATCCTGGCAGCTCTAATCTAACAGCAAATAAATTTTTAACAAAATGAGGCAATTTAATAGCGATATCTAGATTTTATTTATGAGTGTTGGATACAATCCTCGCTGCTCTACTATATTTTTAGCGAATCTTTGCTCTTTCGACGCTTCTCGATGCTTTTCTCGTCGCCCCACTATTTGCTTATCCGCAAGGTGCCGTAAACTGTATTTCTCCTAAACCACTTCTACGCTTGCTATACAACTTTGCAAATAATCGAGCCCGACTATTAAATCCATAGATTTCCGTGAAATCTAAGAAAATGCTATCATTTAATCCGAACACGCTACGCTACAAGCGTAAATTCGAAATTCGTAGATTGTCATTATTGAATCTGTTCGTAAAGAGTGTTCGTGCAGATCTTCTTCGACAAGTTTATGACAAAAGGATAAAGTTTAAAATTGCTAATCTTAAATATAATCCATCAAAGGATCAACGAGGATGGTGGCAAACACTTATTAGAACAGTGAGTGGGTTAAAATTTTATAAATTAAAATTCATAAATATTGTCAAATTGATAGCAATTTTTACGCATTCAATTATGTGAACTCTATTAAAACGCGAGGTTCAAGTTGTAAAAACGTAATTGTCACATAACATAAAATGTATGCTTACACTTTCTAATCTATTGATATTTAATTAACGGCACTGTACTGTTATTAAACCTTTGACAAACTGACAGAAATGGTCTCGCATTTGAAAGTATGTGCGTAGTTTAACTTTGTCAAGAAATGGACCTAATTCACGGAATAAGTTTTCTTATGTTTTTCACTATATCTGACATTATACAAATATGTACATACATATGTATATTAATAACACTTCCACGATTTTTTGTTGTACACGGTAAGTGGTACAGATTAATCTCTTTTTGTAGGCAATAATATAGCCGAGTGGTAGTTGAATACATACTTAACTAAATACATATATACATAGGTGTGCATTATATTTTTATTTAATTTATCATTTTATTTTTTGATTTATTTTATTTGACCCTTTGTTGTTATTTTATGGATTTTATTTAGTCTCCTTTCGTTTTCGGGTGTTGACGGTTCTTTTATTTTAATTTACAATTTATTTTATTCTAATTTACTTGATTACATTTTACATTATGTTGTTTTAAATTATTTTTAAGTTCGTTATCAAAAACAAAAGATTTGAGGATCTGCACACCTTGTATCTTAACTTACAAATGTTTATGTATATGCTATACCTAAGTATATCCTAAACTGTTTTTATTTAATTACATACATAGATACATATTTTACTTCATACATATACTTACATATGTACATTTATGTTAAGAAACTAATGCATGTTGTAACACTTCCGTGTCGGGTGACTTTAAAAACAATGCACTCGTGTTATAACACATACATATGTACATGGATATATGTATGTAAGTACATACATAGTATGTATGTACATATTCAATGTCATTTGTACATAAATAATGTGTAAGTACTTATGTATATAAGTAGGTATTTAGTTTTTATACCATAAACATCGACTAACGCAAATGTGACAATTGCAAAATGCCTGTGAATGTATGAGAGTGATTAAAAGTCACTAATTTCAGCAATTACTTACAACGTTCGGCGGCACTCTCAGCACTACAGTCTTTCAGCTCGAAGCTACCAAGTTTTGAACGCATCTCCATGGTGCTTTGAAAATTATTGTATGCTTGTTTTAAGAGTTGGTACTTTGTGTATATTTTTGTTGTAGCTGACTGTGCAAATAAATTCCTATAACTATTTTAACTGAATTAGCAATTAAAAATATTTTCATATTTCAATATACATATCGTCGTTTAAAGTACAAAACCGCGTATCGTCATTCTGCAAAACCGCGTAACTGACATTGGCTGCCAAAAATTGGATTTGCTCACACAAACTCTTGGCTCACTCCTTATCCATTCGTGCTGAAATATACTAGCCAGAAATGCGATTGCTTTATAAACAAGTAAGAAAGTCTAAGTTCGGGCGGAGCCGAACATTAAATACCCGGCGCAAGTATTAGATATATGTTTTTTCACCTTTCCGAAACCTACCGCTAGATGGTAAGCCGGGGTGTATCAATTTTGAGTAAATTAGCGTCCTTCAATTTCGAAATATTGAGGTTTCAAGCATTTCTGAAATTTACCGTTATATGAAAAGCGGCCGTAATTTTAGTCCGATTTCAATAATTTTCAACGTTTTGCTTATATGTGGCAAGCACAATAACCACACCGAGTTTGGTACAAATTGGTAGAACGGTTACCGATATACATATATGTGATCATAAGTGGGCGGTGCCACGGCCATTTTCCAAAATTTTACCGTAAACGTATTTCTTGGTAAAGAATTGTTGCAAGTATCAATTTTGAATAAATTAGCTTCAATATTTACTGATTTATCGAAGATTTTGTATTTCTCTAAATTACCGTTATATGGGATGTGGGCGTGGTTATTGTCCGATTTTAAAAAGTTTCGGCGGTTTTTTATGCTGTGCCAAGGCCAACAACTGTGCCAAGTTTGGAAGAAATTGGTGCAGCGGTTACCAAGATATACACATGTAACCATAAGTGGGCGTGGCTACGCCCATTTTCCAAAAATTTATAATATTCTTATTTTTCGTCTAAAACTTATTATAAATATCAATTTTGAGTGAATAATCTCCAGTAGTTACTAAAATATCGCAGTTTTCGTATTTCTGAAAATTACCGTTATATGGGAAGTAGGCGTGGTTATTGAGCGATTTTAAAAATTTTCGGCCATTTGGTATGTTATGCGAAGGCCAACAACTGTGCCAAGTTTGGAAGAAATTGGTGCAGCGGTTACCAAGATATACACATGTAACCATAAGTGGGCGTGGCTACGCCCATTTTCCAAAAATTTATAATATTCTTATTTTTCGTCTAAAAATTATTGTAAATATCAATTTTGAGTGAATTATCTTCAGTAGTTACTAAAATATCGCAGTTTTCGTATTTCTGGAAATTACCGTTATATGGGAAGTGGGCGTGGTTAAAGTCCGATTTCGCCCATTTTCAATACCAACCTACCTTGGATTAAGGGAAACCTACATACCAAATTTCGTTGAGATATCTCAATTTTTGCTCGAGTTATCGTGTACACGGACAGACGGACAGACGGACAGACGGACAGACGGACGGACAGACAGACATGGCTTAATCGATTTCTTTTTTCATCCTGATCATTTATGTATACATTTGTCTATATCTATCTCGATTCGTTTTGGCTGTTACAAACAACCGTTATGTGAACAAAATTAATATACCCTTGTGCACAAGTACGCTCGGGTATAAAAAGAGCACCATTTTGAAATATGAGGGTGTTTACTTCCTAGAAAATAATTTATGCAAAAGCACATACGCGGTTTTGCACTATCTTGATACGCGGTTTTGGATTTTGTTGATACGCGGTTTTGTATTTTAAACGACGATATTTAGTGTACGGTAGAGCGGCTATAGGTATTTTAATTTGTAATCATCAATTAAAGGTTCCTATGCAGCTGTTCTGACGAATTTTAACATTCCACAATATCGTGATATTTACGAAACATACAAACAAATTGTCATATATGCATGTAAATATAGTTGTATGTATGAACTTATATACTTTACAGACTGCGTGTTTTTATTTAGTTTTAAAATTGAACGTTTGTTTGTGTTTATTTTGTGTGTTGCAGATGTAAGTTTGTTTACGTTGACAGTGACTGTTCACAAGACGGCAGATTGACGCAACAGATATACATATGTACAGGCGATTATCAAAATTAAGTATTCTGTTAGCACTCACAAAAATTTGTCTGCTACAATATATCACACTTCAGTCCATATTTTTCTTATGGTTGTATTTTTTTTTTTAAATCCGTAAGTGGAAAATTAAGTACAGTAAATTGGCGATTTGTTTATTTCCTATGTTTTGTTTAATATTGTTCACCCTCTGCTCGATAATACTGGCAGTGAAGACGTTGTTTTCGTTGTGGCGAGGTTTTTTATTTTTGCTCACTTCGATGTTCTGCGTTGGCCTCTACGAAATTGACTGAGCAGTGCATCCACCGATGGTGCCTAATATACAGCACTATATTGCGAAAATTCGTTGGCAAAAATGAGAATTCGAACCAGGGTAGCCACCTCATTTTTGAGAATTCCTCGATTTCGACAATGAAATTCCCCGATTTTTCCCGAAATATCGTAAAATTCCCCACCCATAGAGATCTTCTTACTTAAAAAAAATAATGTATTTTGATATATTACTGGCCTTTCTGTGTATTTTATTTTTAAATGTAATTCATCTATGTATTGATAAACCAAACCAAGCTTTTGTATAAGTTAGTTAACAAATAAAGAATAAAAAATATTTATGTAATATGTATGTATGTACATTAGGGTGGTCCAAAAATAGTAAAGTCGGAATTGTAATGCTCTCACCCCCTAGGATTGTTCTTTATCGAAAACAAGTATACCGCTATCATTTTATGTTGAAATGAAAAAAATATTTAGAGGTCGCTCAAAGCGCTGAAAGGTTTCCATGTATTTTTATATGGGAAAAATAATTTTTTTCGTAGAAATGGTATAGAATTCTTGAAAGTCAATATTTTTCGATCGGAAAACTCGGTATAGAACAATCCTAGAGGGTGAGAGCATAAAAATTCGACTTTACTTTTTCACATGCATTTTTGAGCCACCCTAATGCACATACATGCAGTGGTCGACAAAATTTTAACCGTACCAATTATTACTTTTTTCTTTATTTAATTTGAGTTTTTTTTATAAAAAAATAGTCCATTCTTTAACTAAAACCGTATAAATCCAACTTTGAAACTTTGTGCAATTTTTGAAAAAAATTCGACAAACTTTCGTAAAAATTTCGAGCTTTTTAATTAGATTTTCTAGAAAGATTTTGAGTAGCAGTTTTGTAGACCACTCAATTCTAGAATAATAAAGTTAAAGTTTCAAGTGGCTAAAAATTTTCGGTTTACGATTTTTTGCCGTAGTTGTGGCGGTTTTCTTCCATATAAAAATGAACTATTCTTATTCGTTTTATACATAAAAGCAAACCGGGGAATTCCCCACGAGTTGGCTTCCCTGATTCGAACTCACAATTCGCACTTAGCAACCGCTCGGTAACACCAGCAACGCCAGCAGAACGATGACACCAAACAAGCACTGGTGGAGAAAATTTCGCCTGTATTACATACATACCAACATATATATATATGTATATGTATATATTACATACCACAAATAGCTTTCTGCTGAGTTCGTTTGATGGGTGGCGCTTGCACACCGCTCAATGGTAGATTCATTTGTTGTTCCCTTGTACTGGTGCTTCGGGAACCACTTGGTGGTTCTTTGCAGCGCCGTGGTGTTGTTTGCTGTCGACTATGAAACTCAGTTCTCAGCACACCACAGTGGGAGAAATGGTTAATTTGGCGGCGTTTTAGTGAAATTTTTAATTTCGAATCCCGCCAAATAACAAAACGGATTTGATGTTTTTGTTTATTTTTTGCTGCCAATATTTGCCCAGCTGAGAGCGTTCAAACTTAGTATATGCTTCAGCAAGTACAGTACTTATTTTCGCGGCTTTTTGCAGTACAAAGTTTGTTTACAGAAAACATTTTTTTTTCTAACTTATTAGGTACATATGTGTTAAATAAAAAGGAACAGTCCAGCGCCTTCGTCTTGGTCTGCAGGCTGTATCGGAGATACACCCGCTAAATTTAAACGTAGAATACGTGGTATGGTTAAGAGCATATCCAAGTCAAAAACGAAAGCACAAACTAAGAAAAAAATATCGATAACAAAAGCGATAATAAAATCGATAACAAAATCGATAAAAATATCGATAACAAAATCGTTAACTAAATCGATTACAAAATCGATAAAAAATCGATTACAAAATCTATCGAAAAATCGATTACAAAATCGATAACAAAATCGATTCCAAAGTCAATAACAAAATTGATAACAAAATCTATCAAAAAATCCATTACAAAATCGGTAATAAATTCGATAAAAAAATCGATAAAACTATCGATAACAAAAGCGATGGCAATATCGATAGCAAAATCGGTAAAAAAACCGATAAAAATACCGACAACAAAAGCGATAACAATATCTATAGAAAAATCGATAAAAATATTGATGACAAAAGCGACAAAAATATCGATAACAAAAGCGATAACAATATCGATAGCAAAATTGTTAAAACAATCAAGAAAAATATCGATAACAAAACCGATAAATAATCAATAATAAAATCAATAACAGAATCGATTACAAAATCGATAACAAAATCGATAAAAATATCGATCATTATATCGATAAGTTCCGAAAATATCGATAGCAAAATCAATAACAACATCGATACAAATTTCGATAACAAAATCGGTGAAAATATCGGTAACAAAACCGATAAAAATATCGATGGCAAAATCGATTAAAATATCGGCAACAAAATCTATAAAAATATCGATAACAAAATCGATAGCAAAATCGATAACAAAATCGATAAAAATATCGATAACAAAACCAAACAGATCCACATTAACTGAAACTTTCATATGTACGTATATATGCATTTACATATGTACATACGCTGCGATCAAAAGCCGCATTACATACGCATACATACTTTTTGTCTCCTTCCCACACTTCCAACATATGCACGTGTTTGCAAAATGATGACGAGGTGATTTTGTATGGAAAATCATTTATGCCCATATATTTGAATAAAATAAACATATATAGAAGATATCAACCAATACTTCCCATATACCAAACGAAAGGAAAACTCTTGAATTTTTGATTAAAGAAAACAAAAACAAAATCATTCGAGCGGTTTTCGAGCATTTTGGTAATGAAAAAAATTTGCAAATTTTTTCAACAATTTTTTGCCTTAAAATGCTCAATATTTGTTAAATTTATATAAAATTTGTACCCGATAATATTTCTACTGCTCCAAAGAACCTATATCCCGAAAATGAAAGTTATATATGCCAACAATAAGTTGCTAGAGCACTTTAAAGGCTCAAAATTGACCCCAAAATAAGGCAATGTTTACCGTTGTTTTTACGACAGAAACCGAATTGGTTAGTTACAAAAATGAATCTGTCGACAGGTTTGGAATTTTATCTTTGAAACGCCACACTTTTCTTTGAAATCGCTTTATTAGTTCTCGTGCAATAAGCGTTTTTGTGAAGCTCTAAAAATTACAACTACAACATTTGAACATAGCCCCCATACCTTAAGGTAAGACGTATTCTACGTCAAAAAATATGTTTGTGGCCTGTGCTTATAGGCTGTGCTTAGTCGTAATACAAGATGCCCTTTCTGATAAAGTGCTTTAGCATGTGCAACCCAATCAATCTTCTGTGGAATAAATGTTGGGTGGATTCGACAGGATTCGCCCCAGTATTTTGTTTGCTATTTAGTTTGATCTTCTGTCTATGTTAAGTTGAAGAATTACAAGTACAATGTCAGAGTCAAAATGCACCTTTTTTAGTTTGACACAGCAAACCAGTACCAACAAAAAAGATTTTGGTTGTCGAAAATCATGTATTTTCAAATATTATTGATCCCTCAAATACAAAAATATTTAAAAAATTATTACACCTAAAATTTGTTATTTTTTCGAACAGTACACATTCAAAATGTGAAATGCTTATTGTGCTGCCAGCGCGGCATTCAACATTGTCAATGCTGTCTCTGCGGATGTCGGTGTTTGAGTGTGACTGAACCACAGTATAGACAGTAACCAACCTTTTTGGGTTGTTGTTGTAGTAGTCGTTGTTGTTGTAGTTATATTCACTCCTGAGGAAGGCACTGGGTTGTGTGCTGCTTTTTCTTAGATTTCAGGGTTGTGTGCTGTATTTTTATTAGATAAATAAATTTAAGTATTTGTCAAATCGTGATTTTATTAAAAGAAATTATAAATGGTGTTGAAAAACCAAACAAACACTCGTGCGAAAGCTCTATTTTTGTGTATTGTTAAAATTTATACATGGCGTACTTATTCTTTTGTGGACTTTATGTTACTTGAGAATTTAGACAACGTGCGAGCTGCCAGGTTCTGTTATCAATATAATTAGCACGAGCTTTTCCGAGTGGTTGCCTTTCAATAAAAAGAATAAACAAATATTCGCAAATAAATTGGATTTATTTTATAACTGACAACTAACCTACGCTTTTTGTTCTTTTCTCCATTTTAATTTTGACTCCTTATTACCGCCAACAACTTTATGTGTATACATATTTACAAGCTGTCAAAATTTTGCGTAGTCCCACGAGCTAGGTAAAAACTATGGCATTCGTATTCACAACGAGAAATCTCAAAATTTTTGTTTGGTCTTTCCAAATTTTCTCTTTTTAATCAGTTGGCAAAGGCCCTCAGTGGCAGCGCTCCGAGCGTTGAGATAGTAATTTCATGTCAATTAGTAGAAAAGTTCCATGTTGAAAAAACTTTTTATTATGGCGAGAAAAATTTACATTTCTGTTGTGCCAATTCGTAACTTTTTACTGCTGGAAATGTTTGACAGTTGCTCTGGTTCAAAAGAAGTTGAGCAATTAAAATCAGAAATTATACAAAAAAGACTTGTCTTTACTGACATTTATTCTTCTAGAACTAAAAGCCATGAATTTATTAGACGCCTTAGTAATAAAATCAAACCATCAGGCCGGGTTGGAAATTTTCATTCACCTCATAGTTAACAAAAATTTACAATCCGTAGTACTTTTCTATCAATTCTCAAATGCGTTTAATTTAAATCGTTTAGAAAATGCGTCATTTATGTATACCATTTTATGTGGAATTATTCAATAAATTTCGTTTTACACTATGCTTTTTGAAACTATTTGGAGTTAATTATTTTTTGTTTATTAAAAGCAACCCTGCTTGCTTGGAAGGCGTGTGTACCAATAATTTCATCCCTAGCATATTCATCCCCGAGGAAGGCAGTCGCCAAATTCACCGAAGGTTGTTTACTGGTTATATTGTGGACTGAACTCAAGTTGTGCGTATGCATGTTATGTATTACTAATCCTTTTATTCACTCAGCGCATTTTTTA